TTCATTGGTGTTCTCGACTGTTTTTCCAAAATATCACAGCTGTACCTGGAATAATGAAGCTTACTGGTAGGCTTTGGCAGTGAGGTGCATACAGAGTGTAAAGACCATAAGTTGTCCCAGTAATGAAAATCTAGTCTTAGTGCTGTTTTGCCTAAAGTAAATGCTGTCAATTTATTTCTCTGCTTTGCTGCTTTTAATATAGGAACCGAGGATCTATCTGCTACTGAAGGCCAGAGACTAAATGAAACCGAGATGACTTATGTTGACAGTCTTCAGTCTCCTGTGAAGGTTTTTGTTGCCATTGATGATGATGTGATTCCACACAATAACAAAGATGTATCTTATGATGATGATCACAATATGGATGATGGACAATATGAAAATCACACAGAGGAAGTGGCATCAAAGAAACACAATCACGGCAAACACTCCCACCATTCACATGGTCATTGCCACTCTGGTAAAGATATGAAAGACAGAGGCATTTCCAGTATAGCTTGGATGGTAATAATGGGTGATGGCATGCACAATTTCAGTGATGGCTTAGCTATAGGTAAGTACAGGCTTGAGTTTAATGCCTAAATCACTTCTTGAATTGACTTATGTGCGTTTATGTTTCCCTGTGCAAGTACAGCTGCACTAGAAAGACATTTTCTTTGTGAGTTTATCATAACAAGTCATAGGCTTCAACATGAATGATTTTGGATCAAATAAACAGTTGCTCTAGAATCCTTGCTTATGCTGGGTATTTTCTGTCTTCCTTGTTTGCAGGTGCAGCTTTTAGTGCCGGTTTGACTGGTGGAATAAGTACATCCGTAGCTGTGTTCTGCCACGAACTACCCCATGAATTGGGTAAGACGTGTGTGTCCTCTTTCAGTCAATAACTCAGCACTGCAATTGTGCTTTCTTTTTTAACAGTTCTTTTGTACGGTGTAATTTTCTATATTACGCTTTATGCTTTTAGTTAAAAGGCAAACTGCTTTTTCTTTATATTCAATTTTAATTGCAACTAAAGGATTTGGGCTTTTTTTTTCCCTCTCCACTGCCATACCAATACAAACAAAAGAAATAAACATGCCTAAACATTTGTAATTTTCTGCGCGAAGTGGTGCAGTATCTGACAACTGCAGGGGTGCCAATATTTTTTTACAAATAAACATTTTATACGGGACTAATTATGCCCTATTTCTAAGCTAAAGAAGCAGCGTAGCACAAGTTCTGCCTCTACAGGACTTATTGCACAAAACTAAAATTTACTAATTACATTTACTTTTTTAAATAGAAGAAGAAATTGACACACGGTCCTCAATTCCCCCCCTTTTCCCCTCCCCCCTATTTGGTGATGCATAGGGGTGCTTACAAGCCCCCTATTTACACATTGCAGGTGATGGGTGCTCTTTAAGGTGATATTAGGTTTCCCTTAGACCCCTAATGTCACATTTCCACTGCAAAGAAGCTATCACACTGTGGAATGACAGCTGAGGGACTAGAAGTGATGCAATCTGTATCACTTCCTGCCCTATTCAGTGGTGAGGAATCAGTGCACAGATGTCCCACAGGTCTCTCCTCACACGCCAATTTAAGCTCGGTTGACAGAATAGCTTCAGTGTAAAGCTCAGTCGGTTTTACACATTTGAACAGAGCCGCCACGAGTCTGTTTAGAGGGCCCTTCTGCCAACAAGGTAAGGCATATGTCACCGGCGGCAAAAGGGTTAAATATTAGGAGGTCAAAACTTGCTCCTGACCGATCCTTCCTAGGCATGAAACTCATAAGACGGAAATCTGTTTGTTTAATGATCATCTGATGCAGACAATCCACAAGGGGCGAGAGAGAGGGGGGCTCCACAGGATAAATACTGCTTTCTGTAAATGAAATCTAAGACTGTTCTGTAAAGGTCACATTATGAATTCCCGGTCTCTTGTTGGAGGTTCTGCACCAAGCTAGCACACATTCTAACCTGGATGAGTGAGTGCTGTGAATGTAAGGCTATTGATATATATATAGCTATATAGCTCATTGCTTTACAAAATACCATCAAAGCAAACAAATTACTTTTATTATGTAAAAAATAGTTGAAATGCCCACAAAAATAATCTGTAAATTACTTTGTGCAAAATATTCAATCATGCACTGCTGTGATTTATTCATGAAAGAACACAAAGTGCTGTTTAATAAACACCTTGGTACCGGAGCAATTTTTTTTACACTTGCTAAAATCTGAATTTTTGGATCGGAAATTACTTTACCAACCAAAAATATATTTTTTTCTGAAAGTAGAGGTCCTATAGAATAACAATAGCGGCATTTTTTTTTATTGTCCAACAATATTTGCGCAAATTTTTATCAAATCTTTTTTTTTTCTTTTTTTTTTTTATGCACAATGAGTTTTGGTGCGCAAAAACGCAATATACCAAATTTTCGTGGACAATATAAAATATGGGGGTCATGTTGCATAAATGGATACCAAACATGTCCCGCCTTAAAATTGTGCACCACTTGCAATGGTGAAAAACTGATACTGAAATTTGTCCGTAGATAACGATTTGAGAGCCTTTACTGCTAATCTGTTTAGAGTCTACAGCCAACTATGGCCCTAGAGGTATTGCTCTCACTCTGACGTTCATGATGATACCTAAGGCCTTGTTCACACCAAGCGCAGAGCAGTTGCAGACCGGATCAAAACTGCGTCCAATGTATTCCAATAGTATTTTGGGCTCTAGTTCACATCGCAGCGTGCAGGTCCAGAGCAGGTGGAAAAACGGCAGCAAGCCCTATTTTACCTGCTCTGGAACGCACAAAAGTTTTTTTGTTTTTTTTACCAAAAACTGCCCGAAACGCGGCACAACCCACTGCACTGCGTGTGCAGAAACTTGACCAGATCTGCTCTGCATTTGGTGTGAACAAGGCCTAACTTGTACAACGCATCTGCCATCTACATACACGTGCATACCCCACACGTGTGCATTTGCATGCAGATGGCGTGGTTAGTTGTAATACTTTTTGATATATATATATATATATATATATATATCAAAATTTTTTTTTCTCCCACCTAACAAAGCCCTTATGTTAGAGCTGACAGGTTCTCTTTATGGAGACATCAGTGGTCTCCCTTTAGACCCCTGATGTCTCTCCTGCCTTCCAATACAGACAATCAAGCACAGGGTCTTCTGTTTCCTGCACTTTAGCCGGGATTGTGAGCGCTCTGAAGCAGGAAGCACTAAGAACACAGTGCTTCCTGCTTCATTGATCAGGGAATGGGCATTCCTCTATCTGCCGCCACCATTTGCCGTGGTCCCAGGTTCCCCCCCGGGTAGCTATAGCCAGGTCTGGCTTTGGAATATTGTAGATTGTATTTTTTGCACTATAATGTGTACAATGATTTTGTTTGGGTTATGTACAGAACATATTTTGTATACATTTCCTGAACACTATTTGCACTGCCGTTCTCCAGTTGGATGTATTTGTTGTTGTTGGAGCAGTCCTTGCCCATTTGTCAGATTGAGGAATCTATTTTTGGCTACCACAGATTGTATGTACATCATGTTGTAATTTGCTATAGAAAATACTGATGCGTCTGGCGCTTTGAGGATTATACTAAATAATGCTTGTGGTTCAGGGCCTAATTCATAAGAATGGATACAGCTCTGTATGACACTGCAGTGTTAACTCCACACCTACAATGGAGGGCACTGCGTGAAGCCTGCAGTGCCTGGGTTGTTCTCTGCATGACATGGTAGAGAATCCTCATTGATAGGAGTGCTACAACACATTACATTTTCGGTAACTGGTTCATACTCCCAACTATTTTTTTTTTCCTTTCCTTTTGATTGAAATGAACAATGGCAAAGTCCAGAAGCGCTCAAACGGGAGTACATTTGTCAAGTAGAACGCTGGCTAAACCACTGCTTTAATGTCTTTCCTGTAAAAAGCATAGTCCTCGTCATTCTTTAAAATAAATAAATTTGTACCTTTTAGATCAGGGGTGCAGTGCTTTGGCTCCTGCATATTCTACCCCCTGTCCCTGTCTGTACCAAGGTACAGACTTTAAGTAACAGGGACGGGAGGAAGAATGAATGGACTATGTGCAATGATGTCCCCATGCTTGGATTCCTGTGAGAACCACAAGTCCCTCTGCCGCAGTGGTAGTCACTGATCATGTGATTGGATGATGTGGGTGTGGACGCATAGCCACAACAAATTTAAGATGCCTGAGTGCTGTGGGGAGAAGAAACCCCCGATTAAGGGAATTGGGAGGTGGGGTGGCGATATGGTCAACTTGGCATTTCACAGAAAACTAACAGAACTGTTTTTTCCTTCTTGCAGGGGACTTTGCAGTGTTACTGAAGGCGGGCATGACTGTAAAGCAAGCAATTGTATACAACGTTCTGTCTGCAATGATGGCCTATATAGGCATGTGTATAGGCACGGCAGTTGGACAGTATGCCAATAATATAACCTTGTGGATTTTTGCAATTACAGCCGGAATGTTTCTATATGTGGCACTAGTTGACATGGTAAGGGATGATTGTCACTCATTGTGTGTTTCCCTCTCCTGACCTGCTCACCAACAAACTAACATTACTGGTTGTGCACAACGGGACCCTAAATCCTCTCAAAATCCCACCACCTCCTCTCGCCTTGGGACTAGAGCAGCTATGGTGATGCTATGGGCCCTTTATGTATTTTATGCATGGTGATCATATCCCCTTAAATACCTCTTCTCAAGGGGGAATCTGTTCTGCTCCACTTATATTTTCTCATACGTGAAGTCGTCCATGCCTTTGTGTGTCAGTATGCTTTAGCACTCTCTGTAGCTGTTTCTTACTTTTTTCTTTATAAAGTTTTAAAATAAGATCTGTCTTTGATTCCTAGCTTCCAGAGATGCTGCATGGGGATGGAGAAAACGAAGAACATGGACACTGCCCAGTGGGACAGTTCATCCTGCAGAACTTGGGACTTCTGCTTGGGTTCGCCATAATGCTGGTCATTGCTTTATATGAAGACAAAATAGTGCTTGACCTCAACTTTTGACTTTCTCGGTACTGTCCATTTGTAATGTGTCTGCTAGCTGTGTATGTTGAAAATGTTTACAGCAAAGGTTTGCAACGTTCTGTCTGCAAAGTACAAACAAATTCACCCACCAGTACGGTTCACCAGAGATCACTGTGATATGTGTTAACTGGCATTGTTTGTGAAGCAGTGCACCTCACTGCACGTGTCAAGTGTTAATAAATTGTCATTAGAAGCATAAAGCAAATTCTGCATCAACTGGATACGTCTCATCATTTAGTATTCAGGTAGGCAACCTAGTGTTTGATTTCATGCAAGTGAAGATGTCCACACATTGAAATTACCATAATATGTATGTATGCGTTTTTTGTTTGCTTTGTCTTCTGAGAAAGACGAAATGAAACTAACCTTGATGAAGTATTAACCGGGATTTGCTAGGTTGCTGGGAAGAAGATGTACTTGAGCACACGTAGGTGCTTGTTTACTTTAGCTTTGTGTCAATGAATACTGCAACGATGATAACCTACTTTGTTCAGTTTCTTAGGTTTACTTTTAAAAGGTCCTGAACATTTTAACAATAAAACAATGCATTGTTCTAAGGAAATGCCAACGTACTTGCAGCAATGTTCTTCAGTTATTCTGTTTTGTTTGTAATGTTGGGAAGTCAGAACCCAGCCCTATGCATCAGACTACCGTAATACCGATCAGTTCTAGTTGTCTTATTGTCGTCATGTGATATACAGCACAGTAGTATCCCTGCATAGTGCTAAAATCTCAATGCATTGTAACTGTGATCATCGCCTCAAAGGGCACTTGAAACCCAGGTTGGGCGCTTGGGCCACATGATTGATCTGGAAGGGCCCGTTTAATGCTTGTGTTTCTTCAGCCAAAACCTGCACATAAACTGCTTGGTACATACCTTACCAAGTGTGTGTGTTCAACAAAAAAGTACTGTTTGAGCATTCGCACAACATTTTTTTTAAATAATATTTCTCATGTACAAAGCAGTTGATATGTATTTTAACACATCTGAAATGCAACCCAGCTCTGGGGACACAATTGGGATTGCAAACACCTAATCGTACGTGCATATGTAGCTGCTACCCTGCTTGGTTTCTTTTCATCTCATCCGCTCTGTTCATTGTGCACATTGGCATCTTTTTTTTTTTTCCTTCATACATTTAAGGCTTCATAAAAAGAAAAAAAAACAGGAAGGAAACTGTAGCACAGACATATTGCCTACATAAGTTCTCTGGCCACTTAGCATTTTCTTCCTAGATATAAAATAGAACACATTGCATTTTTCTTGCTGCTTCCCATTTTGTAGGTTTATTGCTGTGGATACAGCTGTGTGGGGTTTTTTTTTTTGGTTTTCCAACCTTTTTTTATTCTGTTTTTAGATCCTCTATTCTAGTTGTGCAGAGTAGTGATGAAACAGTCCAGTAATGAGTGTGGGTGGCTGACAGCGCCACGTTATTTCCAGCATTTGAGCTGACTTGTGTCTTAGATATACATAAGACTGCTTTTTACAAGCGCACGGTAAGGGGATTCAGGTCTCTATGGTCACAGAAAGAAATGTAAACTTCCAGTGAAAAGGTCCACTTTATTGCATGGAAGAAGCCAGCACATGGCTTTTGGGGTTTAAAAACCTCAATTTGTATCGGTCTATGAAGGATAACCTGCAGCAATGAAATATGGTAACTGTCTGATGTATATATTATGTCTTTTTTACGTCCGTTGGATCATTTTGAGGCACACAATCCCGGCTCTCATTTATTTAGGAGCTTGGACCATACTGCACACTCCCTATGTATCGCGTGAAGATACACTTATGTTTTTATACCGATAGTACCATCAGATACAATAGATAAATATGGCAAATATCTGTTCTATACAGCACTGATGGTCATGTGTTTAACCCTTTGATTGCCAAGGATGTGTTCTATACATCCTGGCAGTGAAAGAGCTAAAACAAGTTTTATGGCTGCAGTAGCAACTATGAGCTTGTAAAATAAAGCAGCAGCCTCTGCTCTGGAAAGATTTTCTGCAGTCTCCAATAGGCTTAAACACCCCCATGTACCAGGTGGCCAAAGATCATGTGATCTAGTTGTCTCAGTCATTTGGTAACGGGCTTGAAAAGCATGGTTTTTAATTTCCCTTCCTTTTTACACAAATGTGATTTGATAATGCCTATGTGGCCTTGTCTACTTGTGTGGTTTTTAATGCTGGGTGCACTTTTTTTAATTTGCCCCAATACTTTTGGAGAAAAATGAAATGTCAGTGTGCACATATTTAAAAATGACACTGTGGTCACTTATAATAGTAAAAGCAAATGTGGGACCTGATATTCAGAAAAAGAGGGCACACTTGGCCCAGCCCCTTACTACTTCCTGAGACTCCCTGTTGGCCCAGCCCCTTACTACTTCCTGAGACTCCCTGTTGGCCCAGCCCCTTACTACTTCCTGAGACTCCCTGTTTGCCCTGCCCCTTACCACTTCCTGAGACTCCCTGTTTGCCCCTGCCCCTTACCACTTCCTGAGACTTCTTGGCCCAGCCCCTTACTACTTCCTGAGACTCCCTGTTGGCCCAGCCCCTTACTACTTCCTGAGACTCCCTGTTGGCCCAGCCCCTTACTACTTCCTGAGACTCCCTGTTTGCCCTGCCCCTTACCACTTCCTGAGACTCCCTGTTGGCCCAGCCCCTTACTACTTCCTGAGACTCCCTGTTTGCCCTGCCCCTTACCACTTCCTGAGACTCCCTGTTTGCCCCTGCCCCTTACCACTTCCTGAGACTCCCTGTTGGCCCATGTGTATGATTGGCAATGACCTGGGCGCAGAATGGCTCCATTTCCTGAAGTCTCTTTTGTATATTCAGTTACTGAAGCTTTGGAGCTACAGAAGCGCTATGGGGGGTTGTGAGCACATATTCAGTCACCTCAAAGTGTTCGCTTGTTTACTACTTTTAAAGTGATCACAAGATCCTTTTAAGGGCCTATTTATTCCAATGCATTTTTCCAGTTTATTTTAATCAATGGACCGGCATCTAAATGCAATTCACTCGTATTGAATGTCCTTGCACGTCAAACTGCACATCGTGTTGACTTTCATTTTAGTGCATTCAATGCATCAAGTACCTGCAAACAACTCTGACTGGCACCCCAACACGTGTTTTCTGGTGTGCTGTGTGTAATTTAAAAAAAGGTGCATGTCCTGGTGCATTGGAAAATGATATGCATGTAATGATAGGTATATCCCTCAGTGTCCTCCGGTATATACAACGTAATGACTCGCTGGACTTTAGTCCACTGCAGGGGAGGGTAGTGAGGCAAGAGTAAGCTGGCTGGGAGGATCGGGTGAGTATAACTTTGATATTTTTGAACCTAGACAAAAACTAACACTTAACCCTTGCAGTGTGGAGATGGACCCATTGCAAAGGTTAAAAAAAAAATCCCTGGAGTTCTGCTTTAATCTGAATTAACTTCATGTGTCCAAACTGCCTCTGCTATAATGTTTAATATGCGTCAAGTTCTGATTTTTGTGTCTTAACAGTATTGTACAGAATTTCTTTATAACTAACATGTCCAATATGTTTGTAGTTAATTTGAAAATGACATTTTTACTGTAGCTTGTATTGGCTGACATACAAATGGAGCTAATCTTTTATGTTTACATAAGTATGACTCAGCTGATTAGTTTAGGGTATCTTACCCACAAATAAAATGCTTTATGCTCTAACCATTCCTAGTACATTTTGTTAATTTTTAATGATTACATTTGTAGACCACATGGGCCGTACGAAATGATCTTTTGGATTTGCTGGATAAATCAAAATGGTCAAATTGAAATCTAGAAGATGTAGAGGAAAATATGTGAGCAGCTTTAATTTGGTGCTACTCTGTTTTACATGTCTCATGCTATCCCAGGTATACCTGATCAATGGCAATTTTTGATTGATGAAAAATGCCTGCAACAACATTTTATGATTACATTTCTTTCGGGCATGGCAGGACCTCGAGTTACTTCAATATTCATTTAATGTACAAGCCGCTCCAGTTAAATACACTTTGAGGGCATACACAAGCACCCTACAAAAGATTTGTATGGGTATGCACCTGACCACCCCTGATGTGGTGTATAGATTGCAGCATAGTTCTGGTACGACATCGATGTTCTAAGTTGCAGTTCAGGAAGCACCACTACTGCCTCAACTCGAATACTAGTGAACGTCCCCACACTGGTGACTCAAGTTCTTCTTTGTGCATCTCTATAGGTTACCCTGCTGCCTATCTTTTCCAATACTCATTGCAAGACTGATTTCATTTTTCAGCCAAATTCCGGCATATAAGGCAGGTTTCAGATCATTGAGTTTGTTTTAAGCGAAGGAATACACAAGTGAACTAAAGGGTCTGGCCTGGAGTTCTTTAAATGGAGTATCAGATTATTTTTTTCTTCATACTGTAAACCAGTAAATGTAATGTGTTTAACCCTTTGATTGCCAAGGATGTGTTCTATACATCCTGGCAGTGAAAGAGCTAAAACAAGTTCATGGCTGCAGTAGCAACTATGACTGTCACAAATTTCTTACAACTTTGTTATTTTTGCCATATTGTCTCTCCTGTATTATGTTCAATTTATCAACATTCCAGCTTATGTAGTAATGTATTAAGGATCAAATTTTGTTTAGTTCAAAAACAGATTTTTGGAATAAAATTATTACATGAAAAATGAGTCTTGATTTCTAACGTCTATTGTCGTCAGCAAATGTTCATTTTCTCAGTGAACTTTTTTTCATCAAGAAGATTACACACACAGTCAACATACCATTCATGTAAACCAAAAAAAGTCCATAAGATTTTATGTGCATTTAATATTGGATGTCTACACAAGGATGCTTTTACAGGTAAATACCCCCAACAGCTCTGAGTCTACTGGGGCAGATGACGACATTCAAAATGGCAGCGCCCAACAGCAGTCTCAAGGCTTTTGGATGTCTACAGAAAAGGAGCCTTTTACAGGTAAATGCCCCAACAGCCCTGAGACTTCTGTTGGGTGCTGCCATTTTGAATGTGAGGTCATCTGCCCCAGTAGACTCTGAGCTGTTGCTGAAGTGACTCTCTAATATTCCCCTTTAATCCTCCTCCAGCAATTACAATAAACGTGTTCTAGGAAGGTGGAGGCGCTGGCCCTGCACAGTTAGTAATTAGATATTCCAAGAAGAGGACTATTGCCTGTAAGGAGAGAGGGGCTGTGCCATGGAATTGACGCTTCTAGGAGTAGTCAAATGTTCTAGCAGTTTCAAAGGCACACCAAGGTAAAATACTGCAATTTAAACTTTACAAATACTTTTTTTAACTGGATTTTTAATTTTTTTTTGTAGATGGGGTCAGTTTGACAGCCTGTCATTTTTGGGGTTCCCAAACGTTTACATATGACTGAACACTTTGAAAGCAATGCTGTAGTTACCGTTGTTCTAACCCATGAGTTTTTGTTTTTCCTCATTCCTCTTTAGACCTCCTGATCATTTCCATCATGCTGTTGAGTTGGACAGTACGACATTAGTTTCCGGGACTGACTGAGGTTTCTAAATAGAAATTAAAGGGTTGCAGGGACCTAAGGGTGGTTGTGCATGGTTGCAGCATAGATGACTTTCTTGGGTCCCATTGCACAAGTCTAATTTACTTCAGCTGTTACAGTGACCAATGTTGGCTTCTTGAAAAGAGGAGCAATTGGACAGTTGTAAGAAATTGCTGTGTAGCACAGTCCTTAGGCCTTGTACCTATGTTGTAATAGAAAAACACCCAAAGCTTTTATTGAAATCCTGGTTTAGTGTGGCTTGACGGCCAGGAGTAATGTGAATTAATTGTCTGCTGGTAGACATTGTGGGTACATTTCCCCACTACCTGTTTGAGAAACATTGGTCACCAGCAGGGCTCGAAAAATCCACTCGTCTGTGACAAACAGACGGTGGAGCCCGACGAGCATCTTGCCGGCCGGGAGCTTTACAGTCAAGCGATCGAGCGTCTCGAGAGACGCTCGATCGCTTGTATCAGAAGCTGCCATTGCTGGTCCCGAGATCCGCTGTGCCCGATGCAGCACGGCTCTGTGACAGGAGATCAAAGAGTTCAGTATACAAACTGCCTTTGATCTCCTCTCAGTCCCCGAATGCAGGAAGTGATGTATATTACATCACTTCCTGCATTCAGTGTCACTCCAGCTAGAGAAGCTGATGAAGCCGATCTCTGTTTCATCAGCTTCTCTGGAGGTCCCTAGGTGACATTAGGGGTCTTGGAGACCCCTGATGTCTCCATAAAGAGGACCTGTCATGTAAATTGGTTATCACATAGGGGGCTTCTTAGCCCCCCATGTAATGGCAATAAAGTTGTATGTAAAAAAAAAAAGTAATACAAAAATGGAAGATTGATAAAAAAAACTAAGCATAACATTAATTTTGTAAAACATTTTTTTAAGTCCCTGCCCCCGACATACACACGCATATATGCATCAGGTGCGCCTACATGCCGCACATGTTGCATATCGCCGCAAACTGAGTGAGAGCAATCATTTTAGAGCCATTAAGGCCGGGTTCACACCTGGGCGTTTTACAGCGCTGATCGACGTGCTGTAAAACGCCCTGCAAGTGAAATCCCATTATTTCCTATGGGCATGGTTCTCACTTGGGCGTATTTCAGCGTGTTGGAACGTGCTGAAAAACGCTCTATGCTCAAAGAAGTACAGGAGCTTCTTTGGGGTGTATTTCCGTGCTGTATCCATTAGGATACAGCCGGATAGCCCTCGTAAACGTGCGTTTGATGCGCGTTTTGTAGGCTGCAAATCGCGGTTAAAACATGCACAGCAAAACGCGTGTCACACACATATTTCGAATGCCTAGGTGGGAACCCAGCCTAAGGAAGAACTATGAGGTGAGTGCTTTTCACTCACCTCATAGTTCTAGCCGACCTGTGACAATGAGACTGTCACAGGTCGGCTCAGTAGATCGGGAAGTGAGCGAACTCATACCGGTGTTCGCTCACTTCTCGATCCTGTCACGGCACAGAGCCGTGACAGGGGAGGGGCTGGATTCCCCACTCCGATCCTCTAGCGCTGACTGGCGGAACGGATGGGTGAGGGGCAGGTACAGCTGGCTCTGCCTCTAGATAGGAGCCAGCTGTCACTCATGCAGCTGGGCGGATCCAGACATAATTGTCGGGATCTGCTTCAGCTGCGGCATACCGCGAGCTGCAGCATTTTGCGGTATACTGAGCTTAGGGTGACGGGAGGACGCTAATTTGTGTCCTGCCGTTACCCTAAGGAAAACTGGGGAAAAGCCCTAACCTCATAGTGGTGATTATATACCTCCAACAGAAAGCTCTATCTGTCCCCAAACTTTTTAACATAAATTGCAAGGCTATAGTCTGGTCATGCTGACTGGTGAAATTTTTGACTGACTGGTGAGACACTATCAAATTTTTCAAGCCCTGGTCACCAGGATGGGATTTGAAGAGAAATCATCTAATGAGAAAACCTGGCAATTTCTAAACTTTTTCACTAAGTAAAACAGATGGTTCAGCTTCATATGAGTTTGTTGTGACTGAACCCCAAGTATGCTTTTAGCCAACACCTATAAGCCAAATTCACATTAATCCAGTCATTTTGCTTTTCACTTTTTTTTTTTTTCTTTTTTTTTTTTAACGCTTTCAAATTTGTTTACTGGGCAGAATAGTTGCACACTGTTGTGAAATCCTTTTTTTTTTTTTAAATCTGGTAATCTGTCGTTTTAGGTACCTGTAGTATCATTTGACAAGCCGTACACTAATGAGCTTAAAATGAGATTTAGGCAGGCTTGCTGCTACTGTCAAAAAGTAAGAATCTTGATAAAATTAGTCCTACCCTTTTCCTGGCAGGGTGTCACTTTTGTCTCGTCTTATCCTTCTGGTCTCAGAGCTGTTGTGCTAACAAGTAAAGAACAGTTTGTATTTCTTCCACTCATTATCTGCAGCATAGAAGAGATTGAGGACAAAGGCCATTTCAGCAAAAGGCTTATACTGATGCTGAAAAATGTACAAGTCTGTTACTAAGGAAATGCCAATGACTGCTATTCAAATGAATGCACTTAGGTAAGATTTGCTGAAAAAACACAAGCCAGAATTATTGGATACTTTTAGCAACACTTGTGCCCAGTGCTGTCACAAGGGGGGGTGCAGCCCGCATAGGGTGACACCATCAGAGGGGATGCCTCGGCC